AAATGATTCAGAAAAGCAAAATAAAATATTTTCCCCTTTCAATGAACTCCCCCCCGTAACCTCACGATTACCAATTAACTTTCTTTAGTAAATTGGCAATAATTCACCAAAATTAATTAATTTAATTCAAATTAACTAAAATTAATTTTGCATTTTTTTTAACTGAAAAATCCCATTTTTTTCCTCCCCAGGAGGAGGAAGAGGAGCAGCCCCAACCAACCCAACCCGCTCTGCCCGTGGAGGAGAAGAAGAAAATTCCGGATCCCGACAGCGACGACGTCTCGGAGGTGGACGCGCGGCACATCATCGAGTGAGCCTTCCTCCCTCCTTCCTCTTCCTCCCCCTTTTTCCCTGCTCCGCCTTCCCACCCGCCGCCGCTTCCCTACCCCATCCCAAGGTTTTTTTTTTCCCCGTAAATCATCCCAAATTTTATCAGGAAAAGCTCTTCCCGAGGATTTCCCCCCCACTTCAAAGCTCCCAAAAAATGCAAAATTTTATTTTTTCACTCTTTTATTTTCGTGTTTTTGCTCGTGAGGAGCAGGAATCCCCTCGCTCATCCGTGTTTTGCTCTCTAGGATCTCCCTCTCTTCCGTTATTTCCTGGTTTTTCCCAAATTTCCCCCATTTTATCCCGTTTCTCGTTCATCCGTGTTTTGCTCTCTCAAGATCTCCCTCTCTTCCGTTATTTCCTGGTTTTTCCCAAATTTCCCCCATTTTATCCCGTTTTTTCCTCCATTTCCTCCTCCCATCACCTTTTATCCCAGTTTTTCCCCCCATTTTATCCCATTTTTCCCCCGTTCCTGTTCGTCCCTGACCCTTTATCCCGGTTTTTCCCCCCTTTTTTCCCCTTTTTCCCCCTTCCCCCTTGTCTGTGATTCCTTTTCCCCGTTTTTCCCCCATTTTTCCCCCGTTCCTGTTCGTCCCTGACCCTTTATCCCGGTTTTTCCCCCCTTTTTTCCCCTTTTTCCCCCTTCCCCCTTGTCTGTGATTCCTTTTCCCCGTTTTTCCCCCATTTTTCCCCCGTTCCTGTTCGTCCCTGACCCTTTATCCCGGTTTTTCCCCCCTTTTTTCCCCTTTTTCCCCCTTCCCACTGGTCTGTGATCCGTTATCCCGTTTTTCCCCCCATTTTTCCCCCGTTCCTGTTGGTCCGTGACCCTTTATCCCAGTTTTTCCCCATTTTATCCCATTTTTCCCCCCGTTCCGGGTGGTCCATGAACCTTTATCCCGGTTTTTCCCCCATTTTTTCCCCGTTTCGGGTGGTCCATGACCCTTTATCCCAGTTTTTCCCCGATTTTTCCCCCGTTCCATGTGGTCCATGACCCTTTATCCCATTTTTCCCCCATTCCGGGTGGTCCATGACCCGTTATCCCAGTTTTTCCCCATTTTATCCCAGTTTTTCCCCCATTTTTCCCCCGTCCCGCGTGGTCCATGACCCTTTAACCCAGTTTTTCCCCATTTTATCCCATTTTTCCCCCATTCTGGGTGGTCCATGACCCTTTATCCTGGTTTTTCCCCCATTTTTCCCCCATTCCGGGTGGTCCATGACCCTTTATCCCAGTTTTTCCCCCCTCCCGGGTGGTCCATGACCCGTTATCCCGGTTTTTCCCCCATTTTTCCCCCATTCCCAGGTGGTCCATGACCCTTTATCCAAGTTTTTCCCCCATTTTATCCCATTTTCCCCCCATTCCGGGTGGCCCCTGACCCTTTATCCCATTTTTCCCCCCTTCCGGGTGGTCCATGACCCTTTATCCCGGTTTTTCCCCCATTTTTCCCCTGTTCCCGGGTGGTCCATGACCCTTTATCCCGGTTTTTCCCCCATTTTTCCCCTGTTCCCGGGTGGTCCATGACCCTTTATCCCGGTTTTTCCCCCATTTTTCCCCTGTTCCCGGGTGGTCCATGACCCTTTATCCCGGTTTTTCCCCCATTTTTCCCCTGTTCCCGGGTGGTCCATGACCCTTTATCCCGGTTTTTCCCCCATTTTTCCCCTGTTCCCGGGTGGTCCATGACCCTTTATCCCGGTTTTTCCCCCATTTTTCCCCTGTTCCCGGGTGGTCCATGACCCTTTATCCCGGTTTTTCCCCCATTTTTCCCCTGTTCCCGGGTGGTCCATGACCCTTTATCCCGTTTTTTCCCCCATTTTCTCCCTTTTTTCCCCCCATTTTCCCCAATTTTTCCCGCGTTCCAGGTGGTCCATGACCCTTTATCCCGGTTTTTCCCCATTTTCCCCCATTTTTCCCCCATTCCCTGTTGGTCCATGACCCTTTATCCCGTTTTTTCCCTTTATCCCAGTTTTTCCCCGTTCCGGGTGGTCCATGACCCGTTATCCCGGTTTTCCGGGCAGGAACGCCAAGCAGGACGTGGATGATGAGTATGGGGTGTCTCAGGCGCTGGCACGGGGGCTCCAGTCCTACTACGCCGTGGCTCACGCCGTCACCGAGCGCGTGGACAAGCAGTCGGCCCTGATGGTCAACGGTGTCCTCAAGCAGTACCAGGTGTGGGAACGTGGGGGAAAAACGGGGATGCGAGGATGGGATCTGGAGATGGATGGAGATCTGAGGTGGATATAGGGCTGGATTAAATGTGGGATGGAGATCTGAGGAGGATCTGGAGCTGGCTGGAGATTTGAGGTGGATCTGGAGCTGGGTGCAGTGTGGGATGAAGATCTGATGGTCAGTGGTGTCCTCAAGCAGTACCAGGTGTGGGAACGTGGGGGAAAACAGGATGGGAGGATGGGATCTGGAGATGGATGGAGATCTGAGGTGGGACAATGAGATTGATAATATTAATTTATTATAAATAATTAATAATTAATAGTTATTATATTAGTTAGTAATTAATAATTAAGCCAGAGTGGGGTTATGAGCTGGATTCACTCCCTGCTCAGACCCAACCCATGGAGATCCATCTGACTCCATGAAATATCTCAATTTCAGACTGTGAATAATTACCGACCTCATTACCACCTCATTTGCATACACACCCAGGCAGGGGGGGAGGGGGTCATTTTCCCACCCCAATCTGCATCCCCACAGATCAAAGGCCTGGAATGGTTGGTGTCCCTCTACAACAACAACCTCAACGGGATCCTGGCCGACGAGATGGGACTGGGCAAGACCATCCAGACCATCGCCCTCATCACGTACCTCATGGAGCACAAGAGGATCAACGGCCCCTTCCTCATCATCGTCCCGCTCTCGTGAGTGCCCGGGCGGTCCCGCGCCTCTCTCCAGCCCCACGTTCCCAAAATTCCCACCCTTTTTCCGTCTGTCTTTCCTCGCAGGACTTTGTCCAACTGGGCCTACGAGTTCGACAAGTGGGCTCCTTCCGTGGTCAAGGTCTCCTACAAGGTAAGGGGCAAATTCCTTGGATCCCATTTCCTTGGATTCATCCATTGGGTTCCATTTCCTTGGATTCCATTTCCTTGGATCCATTTCCTTGGATTTCATTTAATTTGATCCCATTTCCTTGGATCCCATTCCCTTGGATCCATTTCCTTGGATTTAATTTTTCTTGGATCCATTTCCTTGGATTTAATTTTTCTTGGATCCATTTCCTTGGATTTCATTTCCTTGGGTCCCATTCCCTTGGATCCATTTCCTTGGATTTCATTTAATTTGATCCCATATCCTTGGATCCCATTCCCTTGGATCCATTTCCTTGGATTTCATTTAATTTGATCCCATATCCTTGGATCCCATTCCCTTGGATCCATTTCCTTGGATTTCATTTAATTTGATCCGATTTCCTTGGATTCCATTCCCTTGGATCCATTTCCTTGGATTTAATTTTTCTTGGATCCCATTTCCTTGGATTCATCCATTGGGTTCCCATTCCCTTGGGTTCCATTTCCTTGGATCCATTTCCTTGGATTTCATTTAATTTGATCCCATTTCCTTGGATCCCATTCCCTTGGATCCATTTCCTTGGATTTCATTTAATTTGATCCGATTTCCTTGGATTCCATTCCCTTGGATCCATTTCCTTGGATTTAATTTTTCTTGGATCCCATTTCCTTGGATTCATCCATTGGGTTCCCATTCCCTTGGGTTCCATTTCCTTGGATCCATTTCCTTGGATTTCATTTAATTTGATCCCATTTCCTTGGATCCCATTCCCTTGGATCCATTTCCTTGGATTTAATTTTTCTTGGATCCCATTTCCTTGGATTCATCCATTGGGTTCCCATTTCCTTGGATTCATCCATTGGGATCCATTTCCTTGGATTCCATTTCCTTGGGTCCCATTCCCTTGGATCCATTTCCTTGGATTTCATTCCCTTGGATCCATTTCCTTGGATTTAATTTTTCTTGGATCCCATTTCCTTGGATTCATCCATTGGGTTCCCATTTCCTTGGATTTCATTTAATTTGATCCCATTCCCTTGGATCCCATTCCCTTGGATCCATTTCCTTGGATCCCATTTCCTTGGATTCCATTTCCTTGGATCCATTTCCTTGGATCCCATTCCCTTGGATCCATTTCCTTGGATTTCATTCCCTTGGATTCCATTCCCTTGGATCCCATTCCCTTGGATCCCATTCCCTTGGATCCATTTCCTTGGATTTCATTTAATTTGATTTCATTTCCTTGGATCCCATTCCTTCGGATCCATTTCCTTGGGTTCATTCCCTGGACCCCATTTTCTTGGATTTAATTTCCTTGGATTCTATTTCCTTGAATTAATTCGTTGGGTTTGGGGTTTATTTCCTTGGATTCATTCCCTGAATTCGTTCCTTGGATTTCATTTCCTTGGATTCCATTTCCTTGGATTAATTAGTTGGATTCATTCCTTAAATTTCATTTTCCTTGGATTCATCCACTGGGTTCCATTTCCTTGGATTTAATTTCCTTGGATTCATTCCTCGGATCCCATTTCCTTGGATTTTATTTCCATTCATTCCGTTTCCATTCCAAGCTTCCCTTTTCCTCTTCCTGCTCTGGCGGAAGCTGCCCCTGGGTCCCAGCTCCAAATCCATAAAAATCCACGAAAATCCCATTTTTGGTTGCTCCTCAGCAGCAGAAACCCCCCCAAACCTCCTCACCTTGCTGGATAACCACCCCTCCCACCCCTTTTTTTGGGAATTCCAAATCCAGCTCCAAATCCAAATGGGTTGGAGCTCCAAATCTACAAAAATCAACAAAAATCCATGAAAACCCACCAAAATCCATGAAAATCCCATTTTTGCTCGTTCCTCAGCACCAGGAACCCCCAAAACCTCCTCACCTCCCCCCGCTCCCACCCCTTTTTTTGGGAATTCTTGACATTCCTGCTTGGAATTCTCCCCGCAGGGCTCTCCGGCGGCGCGCCGCGCTTTCGTCCCGCAGCTCCGGAGCGGAAAATTCAACGTTCTCCTCACCACCTACGAGTACATCATCAAGGACAAGCACATCCTGGCCAAGGTGAGCGCTGCATCCAGAGGTTTTCCCAATTTTTCCATGCTCAGGGTGTCGGGAAAGAGGAAATTTTTGGACAAATCCAGATATTTGTGCTTGGCAGAAAGGTCTCTGAGTGTAGAAGCTAAAAATGGAGTAGAGATGGAAGGAGGTTTTGATGTAGGAGAATAATTGATGTCTAAATTGGGGTTCTCAGCTTCTTATTGCTTATTTTATAATTTTCTTTCTTATTTTTTTGAGGTTTCTTCTTATTTTATCCAGTTGGTCTTAGTAACCTCAATGAATTCCAGAAGGTCCTGAGAAAATTCTGGTGAAATTCTGAGAAACTTCTGCTAAAACCAGTTGAAAACCAGTTCTGGCTGGTGCCCACCTGAGATGTTCCTCTCCATTTCTCCACTTCTTCCAGATCTGCTGGAAGTCCATGATCGTGGAATTTGGTTTCTCAGCTTCTTCTTCTTTTATGATTTTTTTTCGTATTTTTGAGGGTTTTTCTTATTTTATCCAGTTTGTCTTAGTAACCTCAATGAATTCCTGAAGGTCCTGAGAAAATTCTGCTGAAATTCTGAGAAAATTCTGCTGAAATTCTGAGAAACTTCTGCTAAAACCAGTTAAAAACCAGTTCTGGCTGGTGCACACCTGAGATGTTCCTCTCCATTTCTCCACTTCTCCCAGATCTGCTGGAAGTCCATGATCATGGAATTTGGTTTCTCAGCTTCTTCTTGCTTATTTTATGATTTTATTTCGTATTTTTGAGGGTTTTTCTTATTTTATCCAGTTTTTCTTAGTAACCTCAATGAATTCCTGGGAAGGAGGTTTTGATGTAGGAGAATAATTGATGTCTAAATTTGGGTTCTCAGCTTCTTCTTGCTTATTTTATGAGTTTCTTGCTTATTTTATGAATTTTTTTTCTTACTTTTTGGGGGTTTTTCTTATTTTATCCAGTTTTTCTTAGTAACCTCAATGAATTCCTGAAGGTCCTGAGAAAATTCTGCTGAAATTCTGAGAAAATTCTGCTGAAATTCTGGGAAAATTCTGCTAAAACCAGTTGAAAACCAGTTCTGGCTGGTGCACACCTGAGATGTTCCTCTCCATTTCTCCACTTCTCCCAGATCTGCTGGAAGTCCATGATCATGGAATTTGGTTTCTCAGCTTCTTCTTGCTTATTTTATGATTTTATTTCGTATTTTTGAGGGTTTTTCTTATTTTATCCAGTTTTTCTTAGTAACCTCAATGAATTCCTGAAGGTCCTGAGAAAATTCTGCTGAAATTCTGAGAAAATTCTGCCGAAATTCTAAGAAACTTCTGCTAAAACCAGTTGAAAACCAGTTCTGGCTGGTGCACACCTGAGATGTTCCTCTCCATTTCTCCACTTCTCCCAGATCCGCTGGAAGTACATGATCGTGGACGAAGGCCACCGCATGAAGAACCACCACTGCAAGCTGACCCAGGTCCTCAACACCCACTACGTGGCCCCGCGACGGCTGCTCCTCACCGGGACCCCCCTCCAGAACAAACTCCCCGAGCTCTGGGCCCTCCTCAACTTCCTCCTCCCCACCATCTTCAAGAGCTGCAGCACCTTCGAGCAGTGGTTCAACGCGCCCTTCGCCATGACCGGGGAGAAGGTGCTGGAAAAGGGGAGGGTCTGGGAGAGGGTGGGGGGTGCTGGGGGTGGGTTTGAGGTTGGTGGTGATGGATCTGGAGGGGTTGGGAGGGGTTCTGGAGCTCTGGGAGGTGGATCGGTGTCTGGAATGGATCTGGAGAAGTTGGAAGTGGTTCTGGAGCTCTGGGATATGGGTGAGTGTCTGGAATGGATCTGGAGAAGTTGGGAGTGTCCCTAGAGCTGTGGGAGGTGGATCAGTGTCTGGAATGGATCTGGAGAAGTTGGGAGTGTCCCTGGAGCTCTGGGAGGTGGGTCAGTGTCTGGAATGGATCTGGAGAACTTGGAAGTGTCCCTGGAGCTCTGGGATGTGGATCAGTGTCTGGAATGGATCTGGAGAACTTGGACGTGTCCCTGAAGCTCTGGGATGTGGATCAGTGTGTGGAATGGATCTGGAGAAGCTGGAAGTGTCCCTGGATCTGTGGATCAGTGTCTTGAGTGGACCTGGAGAAGTTGGGGAGTGGTTCTGGAGCTCTGGGATGTGGCTCAGTGTCATTGTTCATGACTCCAGAGGGGTTGGAAGTGTCCCTGGAGCTCTGGAGAAGCTGGGATTCGTTCTGGAGCTTTGGGAGGTAGATCAGTGTATTTTCTGGAGCTGTGGGAGGTGGTCAGGGGGTTTTGGAGTGTTTTGGGGTGTTGGGAGAGTCCATCCACTTCCATTTCTGATGAGAATTCCTGCTCCTGGTGACAATTCCAGGTGGACCTGAACGAGGAGGAGACAATCCTCATCATCCGCCGTCTCCACAAGGTGCTCCGGCCCTTCCTGCTCCGGCGCCTCAAGAAGGAGGTGGAGGCTCAGCTCCCAGAAAAGGTGACACTGGAGGGTGCCCTCACCTTTCCCCATCCCTGGAGACCACTGGGGGGCTCCATCCTGGTCTTAACCCAATCCTGGGATATGGACATGGAGCTTCATCCCACTCCAGAACCATCGCTGGGTTGGGTTGAGCAGGTGGTTGGGTTGGGTTGGGTTGAGCAGATGGTTGGGTTGGGTTGGGTTGGGTTGAGCAGATGGTTGGGTTGGGTTGGGTTGAGCAGGTGTTTGGGTTTGATCCCTCTGGGTTGACTTGGGTTGGGTTGGGTTGAGCAGGTGTTTGGGTTGGGTTGAGCAGGTGTTTGGGTTGGGTTGAACCAATGGTTGGCTTGGGTTGGGCAGGTGCTTGGGTTGGGTAGAATCAATGGTTGGGTTGGGTAGAACCAATGGTTGGGTTGGGTTGAGCAGGTGCTTGGGTTGGGTTGAACCAATGGTTGGCTTGGGTTGGGTTGAACCAATGGTTGGCTTGGGTTGGGTTGAACCAATGGTTGGCTTTGGTTGAGCAGGTGCTTGGGTTGGGTTGAACCAATGGTTGGCTTGGGTTGAGCAGGTGCTTGGGTTGGGTTGAACCAATGGTTGGCTTTGGTTGAGCAGGTGCTTGGGTTGGGTTGAACCAATGGTTGGCTTGGGTTGGGTTGAACCAATGGTTGGCTTGGGTTGAGCAGGTGGTTTGGTTGGGTTGAACCAATGGTTAGCTTGGGTTGGGTTGAACCAGTGGTTGGGTTGGGTTGGGTTGAACCAATGGTTAGCTTGGGTTGAGCAGGTGCTTGGGTTGGGTTGAACCAATGGTTAGCTTGGGTTGAGCAGGTGCTTGGGTTGGGTTGAACACGTGTTTGGGTTGGGTTGGGTTGGGTTGAGCAGGTGGTTTGGTTGGGTTGAACCAATGGTTGGCTTGGGTTGAGCAGGTGCTTGGGTTGGGTTGAAC